TAGAAATATTTTGTAACAATATAAATATTTTGTAACATTATGTCTTTACTGTCACTTCTGATCAATGTATTGCAGTATTAATTTCTTAAAAAGAAAAATCTTACTGACCCCAAACCTTTGAACAGAAAAAAAAAAAGTAATCAAAATTTTAGAAAAAAGAAAAAGCTAGTTCTACGGAAAAAAAAATTATGCATCGTTTGCAGACACCACTTGGTTTGATATTTTGAATCTAATAGAATGACATTCCCACAGGTAAATAAATCTTTATATACATATAAGTTTATATGTCAATGTATGAAAACTTACCTTTTCTCCCCTGAACACCTTTTAATCCAGGGGGCCCTCTATTTCCAACCTGTCCAGATTCTCCACGCTCACCAGGCACGCAGTAGTAACCTGTATCACAGACATTTACTCTTGTCACAGTGTATTAGCTGTATTTCTTTAGAATGATAGCTCTTAAAGTTGCATGCCTTATGTATCCAAGTATTATGTTACATGTATAAAGGTGTTGGATAAATGTATGTAGCATGTGACTGTCAAAACATTATGCTCACCGCAAACTGTTCACTCGAAACACATGACGAGACAAATGTTGACACCGTAACAGGATGGACATACACACAAAGACAACATGCAAGCAGGCAAACAAAGAAGGATGACATGCTTGAAGAACATACAATAACTTCAGTGATGATGCACACACATCGACATTATCAATAATGTCAACAAAATGAGACATAGGTTAGTGTCTCTACGCTAAACACGCAAAATGTTTTATTAATATTAATAACAAATGAAATGAAAAGATAAAAAATGACAAAAGACATCTCAGTGACAAAAGGCAATTATGAAAAGTAAACAAAAGCATTATTGGAACTAAGTAAACACTTACATGCTCTCAAATGTCTAATTATATAGACATTCTCCAACATGCATTTTATACAGGTATGTACAGATACTTTGATGTGACTCAATCACATCAATTTGTCAGGGCTGGTTAAGACAAACAACAGAAAATGTAACAATTTGAGGGGGAAAAATCCACATCCACTCACCAGGATTACCAGGAATTCCATTTTGTCCTTTGGGTCCAGTAGGGCCACGTTTTCCAGGTTCCCCTAGAGGAAGAGCGATTATATGTTATTAAATTATATTACAAAACCATAAAAAAATCTATTCTTCTCTCTCGTTTTTGACATTTACATTGTACGAGTGAGAAAACAGTACACTACAGTACAAATTTTTGGGGGTCAGAAAGGTTTTTTATTTAAATTTTTTTTTTTTTTTAAAGAAAGGATGTATGAAGTTGATTAAAGGCATCAGAAAAGACATTTCTAAATGTTATTAATTAAGTAATTATACTTTAAATAAATGCTGCTCTTTGAACTTTCTATTCATCAAAGAATCAACAAATCAACAAATGTTAAAACAAATGTATAACAACAAACTGGTTTCTTGAGCAGCAAATCAGCATTCAAGACCAATTATATATTTGCTTATGTATTTAATTATATATGGACCAACATATACATATGCCAACACACACACACATATATATATATATATATACACACACACACATATATATATACCCACACACATACATACACACATACACACATAATTACACACATTTCCCCACTTCAGGTATTAAAGATTATTTTATTATTTTCCATTCTACGCAGTACTTATTGTGTTTTGGACAAAACAGCATAATCCTCTGAAGAAGATTATGAATAAATACACATCTACTTACAGCTTTTGAGTCCCTCAAATCCCATTAATGACTACGAATATACAACTTATGTAATTTCATATATGCTTAAAGCCCAAAACGGTGATGAAAATGTACCTTCAGTTAAAAAAAATGAAAAAATTCCAGCTTTTTACGATTGCCCCTACAAGTCAGTCACACAAATAATACAATAACTCTTTCAAATCATTATAATGTTTAGGAAAATGCATATTGAAAATATTTTGGTAAGACAAACATAAAAAATCTGAAATATTACCATAGTTTAAGTATGACCCGTATATTTTTCCTGGGTCACCTTTTTCTCCTTTGAGTCCATTAAGACCCTGCAAACCAGATTCACCCACTGGACCTAAAAGCAGAGCAGAGTTAGAAAGAGAATCAAGAAAAGAAAGAAAAACACGCACTAAGACATCTAAGTTTATAAATACCATACATAAATGACATTTAAGATATTTCAGACCTCTTATAGATGCTCCTGGATCACCAGGGGGTCCAGGTATACCCATCGCCCCTCTATCCCCAGGAAGTCCGGCTGCACCAGGAAGCCCATGATCTCCAGGTGGTCCTAGAGCACACATAAAAAAAATCAAAAGATTTTATAATACAAAAATTTTAAAACTTGTTAAATTAAATATTATATTTATATATGTATATTATATTATACATTTGATATATAAAAATGCAATGATATATAAAAACTCTTCAAACAGATCCACCTCATCTGAAACTCTCAATATAAAGAATTCTAGTTTGCACTGCTAATTTATTTAAGAAATAAAGTGACACAATCTTCATGGTAAATACTGTACCTAACCACAGACAGTACAGTACATTTCACATGTCTTTGTGTTTGATATAATGTTAACTCTATTACCCATCATATTGTTGTAATGGTATTTTGGGTTTCCTTTAGGTCCGGGGTCTCCTGGGTAGCCCTGTTACACATTCACAGCAGCAGTGTCAGCAAACAAATCACAATATACTGCAAGTAGATAACTCTTACTAAATCAATTTCTTTCATACAACGTCTAGTCAGAATGCGTGCCTGACCTTTGGCCCTGGGTTGCCATATAGACCTGGGAGACCATTATCCCCTAGTGCTCCCTGTATATGTAAAAACATAACATCAGAAGTGACAAACAGTATAATTCAACAAACCTATCATTTCAAAATAAATAAATCATTATTAATAGTAAATTATGAATGATTAAAAAGTGTACCTTAAGTCCTGGAAAGCCATATCTTCCTGGATATCCAGGCAGGCCCTAATGTTTTAAAAAATACAACAACATACAATTTCAAAAATACATTTTCAAAATTGAGATTTACACATAATCTGAAAGTTGAATAAATAAGCTTTCCATTGATGTATGGTTTGTTAAGATAGGGCAATATTTGGTCGAGATACAACTATTTGAATATTTGGAATCTGAGGGTGCAAAAAAATCTAAATATTGAGTTTTGTGGTCCAGGGTCACATATGTGAAATGAGAGGAATTCGATGCTTAATCCTGATAATTTAATTGGTTAGTCTGGAATGTTTTGATTGGTTGGTTTGGAATTCTATGATTGTTTGTTTTTGAGTGTTATGACAGGTTGAATTTTTGTTATTAGACAGATGGTTTGTAGTCTTATCTGTTGGTTTGAGGTGTTATGTTCGGCTGGATTGTGGTGTTGGTTTGTAGTGGATCAATTGATATGGAAACTAGTGAATAATCTTACTCTTTGACCAGGTAAACCAATTATGCCTTTCTCTCCTTTTTCTGCTGGAGGTCCTTCAAGACCCTGAGAAACACAAAAATGAATGTAAAACCACATTAATGAGCTTCAGCTAACACAGGTCACATATCAGGGCTTGCTATGTTAGTTCAGAAGTTATTAGGACTAATAAATTCAAATAAATATGCAGCAATACTCACCTCTGGGCCAGGTGCTCCACAAATTCCTTTCTGACCTTTCCTCCCCTACAAAAAAAGTTATAAAATTCCACCATCATTTTCTCCTTGGAAGCTGCCTGGCATCCTCAACAGCTGAAAACTTGTTTCACATATGGACGTTTTACCTTTTCGCCTTTCACATAGTCTTCTGGGTTGGGCTCCACATATTCAAAAGGACCTGGTTCACCCTGTTTCCCCTGTTCCCCCTGTAAGAGAATCAAGATGATGTTGTTAAACACAAATTCAAGTATGAAATAAAGCCAGCACTGCCAAGTGTGTTATTTACCTCATCTCCTTTTGGTCCAGGCAGTGATCTTCCTGGGTCTCCCTATGGACAAACGAACAAAATATAATTCAAGAAGATTTAAAATAATCAAAATCGGCTTCATATTAATGCACAGGCAACAGAAGAACAAGCAGAAGTGCATGTTAAATGAAAGATGCTAGAAGTCTAGGGCGGCTGCACTCGAACAAAGATTTTCAGGTTTTCAAATCTGAGCTAATAAACTGTAAACTTCTCAGTGAATCTTCAGTTTCATAGGCATGCACTTGCAAAACTCACCGGTAGGCCTCTTGGACCTGGTAATCCTTGTAAGCCCTATATAATTAGAAAAAAACATTAAATTAAATAAAACAAAAATATTTTTAAAAAGTATATTTTTGGTGAGCATAAGATACTCTTTTCAAAAACATTTTACTGTGAGCTTTTGAATTTTGCAAAAAAACAAAAACAGAATACATACATTATTATATAATTATACATATAATAATAGTATGGATGAATAAAAAAATGGTGCTATTTGAAGAGTAAATGCTTTTCTCACCATAGATCCATCAGGTCCCATTCGTCCTGGTGGACCTTGTGGGCCAAAGACCCCTCTTAGCCCCTTTGTGCACATGCAAACGCAGACACACACAAACAAAACAAACTTAACTAATAAATAAAACGGCACTTAATACATTATAGCTTATATAAGGACTTTTGCATAAGGTTTTTTTGTACTTAGTACATACTTCTGGTCCAGGTATTCCAGGTAGTCCATCGACACCCTGTGAATGAGGATAACAGAATTGTTGAGTATAAAAAGATGATTATAACGTATCTCTAAATAAAACAACAAAACTACAGAAGTATTTTACAATTTAAGAAATCAGCTTTTATATTTGATTTTATATGACACAACAATGCTCAACCTCTGGACTGCATGCAGAATATAGTCAGTAGTTATAAAATATAAACCCATAAACTCATTTTTTGGAATTATACATACAGGTGTTCCAGGAAGAAACCTTATCCTTGTAAACGCGTCTCCTTTGGCTCCTTTTAACCCAGGTAGTCCCTGAAACAAGCAAAAAAAAAAAGTAATGGACGTCATTTACTGCAGGAATGAACACACTGAAAGAGCCCAGTCAACACGAAAATTGCTTGTAACATTTCTCATACCATTGGTCCTGGGAAGCCGGGTCGTCCTATCTCACCATTCAACCCACGTTGCCCTCTGGTTCCATTACAGCCATCCTTCCCTGGAAGCCCCGGAAGACCACCAGGCCCTGGATGACCCTGGAAGATTATTGTAATATAATATAATAATATAATATAATATAATTCATACATGCTGTCTAGTTTGTATCTATATCTATCTATCTATATACTGTATACATATATATACACACACACACAGAGCATTTCTATTGTTGAATATTTCATACTACGGAGTGTCACTTACAGGCACTCCACCTAATCCAGCATAGCCTTGATCTCCTTGAAAGCCCTAACACAAAAGAATGCAACAGAATGAAAGCCCTTGTATTGAGTTTTCTAAGAATTGTTTGTGGGTGAGTGTGTATTTCTATGTACTTGGTCTCCTTCCAGGCCAGAGAGCCCAGGCGAGCCTATGAGTCCACGTTGACCCTTTTCGCCACGAAGTCCTTGGGGGCCAGGCAAACCTGGAAGCCCCTGCAGGCCCTGCTGACCTAACACACCAGGATTCCCCTAGAAAAAAAATAGCAGTAGAATAATATAATAATATTATAGTAATACTCCCTGCAAATCTACATACTCAGAAAAAGTGTACCTTTATTTACTCATAAATGGCACACACACACACACACACACACACATTGCCATTAATAAAGTAAATGAAGGTACCCTTTTTCTGAGTATGTAGATTTGCAGGGAGTATTACTATAATATTATTATATTAATTAATATTAACATAATATTATAAACTATAATAAACTATATTCATAATCACAATATAACTATTTTTTATTTTATCTTTGTTATTAAAAATAAGAACAGATGCAAAAAAACAGCAGAACAAATATAAGAAAGAAACAAATAGGCCTAGTGCATTATTTTTTTCATTTTACATCTAAACATAAGAATTCAAGTAAGAAAATCAAATAAAAAATAATCAAACGTAAAAATCACTTCACCGTGTTCATTACAAATAAACTGATTATTAAAACTACAAAAGCAGTTCATTCAAGAGCAGCGAGTGATTCCCTCTTTTCTTTTATTGTTAGATTAACATTAATGTAACAGATGGCCAGTGGGTACTGACCACTTCCTGATCGTCGCAACATGCCGAGTTTGATTATGACATTTGCCAGCCCGTGGCCAGCAACCAAAGCCTTTTGATGTCGTACGGCTCCGAGACCCAGTCGTATTGCAGCAGTACACTGTTGCAGTCCGGAATCACTTCAAACTATTGGCCCCCCCATACGACCTGGATTCTCGTTGGGAGCAGTTTCGAGACACTCTGGTAACCTAATCGGCTACATCATTCGTAAAAAACTATTTCTGCTTTTATTTATGTACACTCACAATAACACCAAAATGTTGAGCTTTTGTAAAATAGAGAAAATAAACAGTGCTTTCTGCCAGTCTCCGTGAAATGAAGCGCGTCACAACAATGAACCGCCTACTTGCCTGCTATTAAAGGCACGTTTTGTGGAGATGGCGAGTCAGCGAGCGTCGGCATTCGGTAACTTCATCTTTGCAGCTGACACTGACTGAGAAAGTTCTAGTTTATTAAATAATTAAAATGTATTTTTTTCCCCGGGCACATTCATAATCATTACTTTTGCTGGTGCTTTGTGGCAAGCGTTATGTGCGTGCTTGAGCATGGAATAGGCTATACGCCTATGCCTAAAGGATGGTTTAGTAGGTTATTATATCCTCCTCAGAACCAGAAAAAAAAGCTTTGTGAATTTAGTATTTTTTCATGTCATTACATTGTTTAGAGCATAAGAAAAAAAAAAGGAAAAATAACATTTTTGAAAAATTATATTTTATTCATATGTTATGCTATGACCTCTGTAAAGGACACCAGGACTCAGTTTTTCTAAAAAATAAAATGACATGAATAGACATGAAAAGGCAAAAACAATGGGATTAAAAAAAAAATCACCAATCAATTTGTTAGGTTTCTGGATTTTTTTATACTAAACTTTGTATAAGGATGATTCTCAACTATGTTATAAAAAATATAACAAAATGATTTGATATACCATTTTACTTTATGCAATATGTGTGTAAAATTTACATAAACTGGTTTGTCCATTAAACACAATGTTATCTATACACTGTACCTAATTTGCATATTAATGTGCTGTTGGGACAGCATGTTGAAAAAAGAAGTGTAATAATGGGAGTAATAATTGGCCAGATTTTTTTATAATAAAATCTAATATTTCATAAGAATATTGATATATAATTTCTTTCCATATTCATTTGTTGTGTCTCCCAAAATGCGTAATAAACATGCTTTTAGTCCTGGTGTCCTCTACAGTGGACATGTAATGAAATCAATATCCTGTTTCAAACCAGGAAGTCATATTTTGGTTTGAAACCCCATAACATTTTCCTGAGATGTTTATTTATGACAAACAATTTGAAAATTAATCAGATTTAAATGATAATTACAAAATATCATCATATTTCCATAAGGATGTACAATTTTTTCACTAAATTAATGTCAGCCATTTTTAAAGACCAAGCAGAGGGAGTGATCATGGTGAAACCTCCAAACATTTGGTCTCTCTGAAAAGCCCTGAATGTGCTCCTTACATCCAGACTTAAAACTGTGACATGTGAGGTCTCAAAGAAATTCACTAAAAATCCACTACAGAGACAAAAACTCCATAGCTGGGTCCCAGGAGGATATTAATAATTTTAACATAAACGTGCGACTAGTTGACTAAAAATCTTTAGTCGGGGGCAAGCCTACTTGGCACAAGGAACCACTCCATTTTTAAAATAAAATGCTATGACATTATAAAAAGTGCGACTACAAATCAAGTCATGTTGCATTGCACGAGTTATGCATGCGTTATGAGTCAAATGTTTTTATTTTATTTCATTTTTGGGGGGTGCTATGGGGGTGCTTTGGTCTTTCTTGGGGGTACTGAAGCTGCTAGCCTCTCCCTAGCGCCGCCCATGCCAACCTTGATCTTTGGCATTGATAGATGAACGGCGGCATGCGAAGCAAGTCCGGGACCAAGCATGCAGAGATACGGAACGCAAAGCTGCGGAGATTAAATATAGGGACTTGGATTGTGGAAGATTTTTATTGGTCAAAATATGAATTGTTCAAGTATAATCCTTATGAATATAACCATTTATGTATCAAGTTATTTTACTATTATAATCATGTATGTGCCTGTGTGCAGACAGGCCTGCAGAGGAATGGTATAGAAGACTGTATGAACGACAGACATATGGTGGGGCTGCATGTCCTGTTTTGACATAAGACAAAATATATGATGGGGCCCTTACTTTCACGGAACATAAAATTAAGGCTTCCTGTCTGCGTCTTGGTAGCAGACTGGAAACACAGCCAAAAAAGGTAAACCATAACAAATATGTATGAAATATATTGAACACGCCTAGAAGATAAACAGTATAAAAGACTGTCCAGACACAGACTTGGGAGATTTTCTGCAGATCATCTCTAGACTGCATTATCTCTCTGATAATAAAAGTCTATTTTTCTGGCATCAAAACCCAAGTGTTCAAGAGTGATTCTTCATAGAAACGGCAAGAGCCACCACAGGATCAACAAGAAAAGCGAAGTTGCAGACATGACAAGCATGAGTGGGTCATTCAGAAAGGGACCGAGGCACAAGAAGCTGCAAATCGCAATGATACGCACACGTTATATCGGATCGTTCGAGAGCTTACCTGCTCCCCATCTGGAAGCGGCACATCGATCAAAGATCGGGACGGCAGGGCCCTTCCTACTCAAGAAGAATGTGAGCGTCGGTGGGTTGAGTATTTCACGGAAGTCCTAAACTAGCTAGTGCCAATCACAGCATTTGATCCCAGCATCCTAAACCCTATACCTGATCTGCCAGTAAACCTTGACACGATCACAGCAGAGGAAATGAAAAATGCGATCCGGGCACTCAAGAATGGCAAGGCTGCAGGCCAGGACGAGATCCCACCTGAACTACTCATATCTGGTGACCAGTGCCTTGTTGATGCCCTGAAGGATTTGCTCAATGCTTGCTGGGCAACCTCAGTAGTCCCTGAGGAATGGAAACGAGGTGTGATCATCACACTCCCAAAAAAAGGCGATCTCTCCAAGTGTGATAACTGGTGGGGTATTACTCTTCTATCGGTACCTGGAAAGGTATTTTCTATTGTCATTCTAAACCGCCTCCGACGAGCTGTCGATGCCTGCCTTAGAGATCAACAAGTGAACTTCTGAAGGGGCAGATCCTGCATTGAGTAGATTTTTGTTCTGCGACAAGTGATCGAACAATCACTGGAATACCAACAACGGATCTCACTAAACTTTATCGAATTTGTCAAGGCCTTTGACTTAGTGCACTGAGAAACGCTATGGAAGATAGCCCGGGCTTACGGAATTCCATCTCGATTTGTAGACATCTTTCGCAACCTTTACCAAGGCTCTCGATGCTGTGTACGGATGGAAGAAGGAATAACTGATTTCTTTGCGATTGAAACTGGCGTATGACAAGGTTGTGTGCTTTGCAGTTGGCAATCTCTTCCTCGCCGATCTCGACTTTGCCGATGATATTGTCATTCTCGGCCCGACCCAAACTGCTCTACGAGACCTCACTATGGCCCTAGAAAATCAAGCGGCCAGCGCTGGACTCCAAATTAATGGACAGAAGACCAAAGTCGTTCGCATCGGTTATGTAAACTTGAGAGTACCGATTACAATCGACGGAAAAGTGGAGGAAGTTGCAAACTTCACTTATCTTGGCAGTGTCGTCTCCTCAAATGGGGATGCAGAACGAGATGTTATCTGCCGCATCGGCAATGCATCTGCCGTGTTCCAGCGACTTCGTCTAATCTGGAACTCGCCTTCCCTCCCTCTGCAGATTAAAGGGTTAGTTCACCCCAAAATGAAAACTCTGTCATTAATTACTCACCCTCATGTTGTTCTGGTGGCCTACACAAGGCAAACAAAAACAAGGACCCCCCAAAATCACCTGGCGAATAACTTTTATGGAAGACCTGTGAGCAGTCGACTCGACATTCCATGGGACGAGGCTGAAGTCATGGCCGCGGATCAAAGCCGTTGGAGAATGCTTGTCGCCCTATGTCCCGAACGGCACCAGTGGAATTAAGGTTAAGGTTAAGGTAAGGACAGACGGCCTACAGTGTCGCCTATTAATATTATAAATATGAGCAAAGGTGGCTGTGAAAATAAATCTGCATTGTTCAGCCTTTTGATCTTCATTCAAAAAATGTACAAAATGTTAACCTTTTATTGAAGTAAAACATTGGAAAGGGGGTTGATGTTTTTCTCTAGTTCATGTTAGCCACAGTTATTGGCACCCAATTTTTGCAACGTCCTTTTCCCAAGATAACAGCTCTTTTTAGTTTTCTCCTATAATGCCTGATGTGTTTGGAGATCACCTGACAAGAGATCAGAGACCATTCCTTCATACAGAATCTCTCCAGATCCTTCAGAATACCAGCTTCATGTTGGTGCTTCCTCTCTTCAGTTCACC